GCCTCCCAAAGTGCTGGGATTACAGGGGTGAGCCACCATGCCTAGCCTCAAGTGAGATCTCCTTCTCCCTTTTTCTTTTTGGAGACAGAGTTTCACTCTTGTTGCCCAGGGTGGAGTGCAGTGGTACTGATCTCAGCTCACTGCAACCACCGCCTCCCGGGTTCAAGTGATTCTCCTGTCTCAGCCTCCTGAGTAGCTGGAATTACAGGTGCGCACCACTGTGCCCGGCTAATTTTTGTATTTTTAGTACAGACAGGGTTTCACCATGTTGGCTAGGCTGGTCTTGAACTCCTGACCTAAAGTGATTCACCCATCTCAGCCTCTCAAAGTGCTGGATTACAGGCGTGAGCCACCACACCCAGCCTACACACAAGGTTCTTGTTAAAGTCACTTGCAATTCCATGTTGGTGAAGACAACGGTTAATCTCCATCTTATTTGATTTATTACCAGCATTTTAACACAGCGGATCACACCCTCCCCTTGAAAGTACTTTTTTTCACTTGCCTTCTAGCACATAACATTCTCCTGGTCATTCCTCCCTTCTCATGAAAGATGACTCCTCATTTTTCTAACAATGAAATATCAGAATGCCCTAGGCCAATCCTTGGACCTGTCCTCTTTTCTATCTCCACTCATTATTTTGGTGATTACAGCCTGTGTCAGTGCTTTAAAAGCCATTTATATGCTGAAGCTGCCAAACATATTTTTCCAGCTCCATTCTCTCTCTTAAGCTCCAGACTCAATATTACCACACGGATGTTTAACAGATATTTCAAAGTTAACTTATTCAAAACTGAGTTTCTGATCTCTCTGCAACAACCTCTCCAAAACCTATTTCTCTTAGTCTTCCTTATTGCAGTGAACATATCCTTTTAATTGATCAGAACATGAATCTGAGTGTCATCCCTGACTAGTCTCTATCACATTCCACATCTGATTTAATAGCAAATCCTGAATAGTCTATCTTCATAACATAATCATAATCCCAGCAATCCCTCTTCTAGGCATATACCCAAAGGAAATGAAATCACCACTTCACAAAGATAACTGCACTCCCACATTCACTGCATTATTCACAATAGCCAAAATATGGACACAACCTTAGTGTCCATCAGTGGATAAAGAAACTGGTACATATATACTACGGAAGCCTGGAAGACCTTATGCTAAGTGAAATAAGCCAGACACAGGAAGAAAAATACTGCATGATCTCACTTATATGTAGAACCTAAAAAAAAATTCAAATACACAGTGAGAGGAACAAAAGAGTAGTACCAGAGGTAAAATGGGTGGGAAAGAAACAAGGAAATGTAGGTCAAATGATACAAAGTAGCAGATACACAGGATGAAAAAAGTCTAGAGAGCTGATGTACAGCATGAGAACTATAGGTAGGAAAATTATACTGGGCTGGGCATGGTGGCTCATGCTTGTAATCCTAGCACTTTGGGAGGCTGTGGTGGATGGATCGCTTGAGCCCAGGAGTTCAAGACCAGCCTGGACAACATAATGAGAACTCATCTCCACAAAAAAAATTACAAATTAGCCAAACATAGTGGTGCATGCCTGTAGTCCCAGCTACCCGGGAGGCTGAGGTGGGAAGATCATCTGATCCCAGAGGGGTCGAAGCTCAGTGAGCCATGTTGTGCCACTGCACTCTCTCCAGCCTGGGTGACAGAGCAAGACTGTCTCAAAATAAATAAATAAAACAAAACAAATTAAAATTATATTGTATACTGGATTCATGCTAAGTAGACTTTGGGTGCTCCTGCCACAAAAACAAAACAAAACAAGAAAATGGGTAACTATGTGAGATGATGGATATGTTTATTTCCTTCACCAGTGAGATGACAGGACTGAGACAGCATCAGTGTGGGTGAAGAGTTCTCAAAGAACATGATTTAAAGGGAAAGCGGGCCAGGGTGATGGCTCACATCTATAATCCCAGAACTCTGGAAGGCCAACGCAGGAGTTCAAGACCAGCCCGAACAACATAGCTAGATGTTGTCTCTACAGAAAAACTCTAAACACCTAGCCAGGTGTGGTTGTGTGTGCTCACAGTCCCAGAAACTCAGATGGCTAAGGCGGGAGGATTGTTTGAGCCCAGGAGCTCAAGGCTGCGGTCAGCTATGATTCACCACTGCACTCCAGCCTGGGCGACAGAGCGAACCTCCCTGACAAGTCACTTCTAAAGCCTGCTGTCATTTTTATTTTCCAATTCCAAGCCACATACCTGGTGTAGCAGATGCTGTCAAACCTCCCCACATCCCTTAGACTTTTCCCACTATTAGTATCTGCACATGCACCCAAAGGTGTTTTTTGTAAAACTGCAGAAATATGTGTTGCCTATGCAAATGGCAGGCAGGAAATTTCAAGAACTCAACACTTGATAGGTGAGGTAATTTTGAGCAGTGTTTTTAATAAGTTTCCTGGCAGAATTAAGTTCAAGTAGCTCACTGTACAACTGACTTAATAGTATGCCACACTATCATCCCTGCATTTCCCAAATAAGCTACTTGCATTAAAAAAAAAAAAAGAGAGAATCATCGAACTACTTTTGACCACCTCTACCATCACTCTGGGACAAGCCTCCATCATCATTTAATTGAATTATTTAAATAAGTTCTTAACTGGTATTCTTCCTTCTTTCTTCCCTTCAGTCTATTTTTTGCAACAGTCAGAGCGATCCTGTTAATACATAAATCACATCCTACCATTCTGTTTAAAATTTTTAAATGACTTCCCATCCTACTCACAGTAAAAACTAACTCCTTACCATGGCTCAGAGTCTTATATGATCTGGCTTCCTATGAAGCCTTTGCAGGCTACTCAATTTAAGACTTCACACCACCCCACCATTTCTATACTCCCTTAACTCCTTTCCTACTTTACCTACTTATATATTTGTTTTATTTTATTTATTTATTTTTTGAGATGGAGTTTTGCTCTTGTTGCCCAGGCTGGAGTGCAATGGCACAATCTCAGCTCACCACAACTTCCACCTCCAGGGTTCAAGCAATTCTCCTGCCTCAGCCTCCTGAGTAGCTGGAATTACAGGCATGTGCCACCACGCCCAGCTAATTTTTCATATTTTTAGTAGAGACGGGGTTTCTCCATGTTGGTCAGGCTGATCTCGAACTCCTCACCTCTGGTGATCCGTCCGCCTTGGCCTCCCAAAGTGCTGGGATTACAGGCGTGAGCCACCGCGCCCAGCCTATTTGTTTGTTTTAAAATAGACAAAAAGAGGCTGGGCACAGTGGCTCAGGCCTGTAATCCCAGCACTTTGGGATGCCAAGGTGGGCCGATACCTGAGGTCAGCAGTTCGAGACCAACCTGGCCAACATGGTGAAACCCCACCTCTAGTAAATATACAAAAATTAGCCGGGCATGGTGGTGGGTGCCTGTAATCCCAGCTACACAAGAGGCTGAGGCAGGAGAATCGCTTGAACCCAGGAGGTGGAAGCCGCAGTGAACCAAGATCACGCCATTGCACTCAAGCCTGGGCAACAAGAGTGAAACTCAATCTCAAAAAAAAAAAAAAAATTAAAATAGACAAAAAGAGTGAGAAAAAAATCCTACTGGAGAAAGTTGTCTTTTTAGAATCATTCAGACTTGGGAAGTAATGAAAGGTAGTCAAAGAAGAGAAAAAACTAGCTGCAATTTCTTGTTATAGGTTTATTACACTGAGAAAGATAAAATGCTAAGGACAGTATGGTGTTTCATTATCATTATCCTATACTAGCGAGGATGGAAAAAGATGGTATGCAATACAAATGCTTCCCTGGGAAACAAGGATAAGTATAACGTAACTCTCGAAGGAGCCCCATGAAAGGATGGAGGATGGAGGAATCAGCTCTGCTTGTGATGAGCTGTGGAGCGAGGCAGGCTATCAAGGAAGCTCCAGGGGAAGTATTCTTTGAGCTAGGTCTTAATGGAAGGATGAATAGGAATTCAATAGATCAGTAATATTCAAAAACAGAAAAATATTCTTGGAAAAATGAGAAAAAAGCAACTTTCTAATAAATTCTAATTCACAAGGCTATCAAATGCTTAACGAATGCTTACAAACAAAACAAATACAGTTGTTCTCCACTGATGAAAAATAACAGTTGCTAGATTTTTAAGTTTATAATAGCAAAATAATACAAATTGATTATTAGAAGTAAATTATGAGGGTAAAACTTTTAAAACAGTATTTTATATATATACAGGAATATATACCTTATCTCTTGCAGTAAGAAATCGTGGATCATCTTGAAAAGCTTCTTTGACGAGTTTACTAAATCTATTAAATAGTGTAAGTAACTGCTCAACATATTTCTCAGAGTCCTAGAAACAAAAGGTTTTATATTAAATTTTTAAAAGAAAAAGAACACAAAAAAATGAGAAAATATAAACATAATTTTTAATAAAACTCATTTAAAACTGGGGATATTTTTTCTTAAAAATAAAACTAAAAGGTGGTCCAATATTACTGTTTTGCCACTTCTTTGTTTTTCTTTCTTCCTTTGTGTTTTTTTTGAGACACAGTCTGCTCTGTCGCCCAGGCTGGAGTGCAGTGGTGCCATCTGGGCTCACTGCAAGCTCTGCCTCCAGGGTTCATGCTATTATCCTACCTCAGCCTCCCGAGTAGCTAGGGCTACAGGCACCCAGCCACCACGTCTGGCTATTTTTTTGTATTTTTAGTAGAGATGGGGTTTCACCATGTTAGCCAGGATGGTCTCGATCTCCTGACCTTGTGATCTGCCTGCCCTGGCCTCCCAAAGTGCTGGGATTACAGGCGTGAGCCACCGCGCCCGGCCCCCGGTTTTACTGAGAAAATAGTATCAATTTTCAATTCTGCATTTTTAAAAATTTAATGTTCTTATTTGTAATCAACACATAACTGTACATATGAGGTACAATGTTATATTTCAATGCATGTATACACAGTATAATGATCAAATTGGGGTAACTACTATATCCATCATTTCAAACATTTATAATTTCTTTGTGGTAACAACATAAAAATCTCTTCTAACTTTCTTGAAATATATACTACATTCTTACTTGCTACAGCTGCCCTGCTGGGTCACAGAACACCAAAACTTATTCTTCCTATTGAACTATAACTTTATACCCCACTAACCAACCTCTTCTGGTCCCCCAACCCCCAGCCTCTGGTAACCACTCACTATTCAATCCTGCATTTAAAAAATAGCCTTGACATATCTCTATCATTGCCATTAAAAATAAACTTACAGTAGTAATAGTTTCAGCAGCTGCTACCATATCTGCCAGGCCAGCACTAATGATATGTTCCTCCAAGTCTTTCAACATTGGCTCTATACCATTAGGAACTTTGTCCATCAATGAAAACATTAAATGTAACTCTGGAAGGACAGAACACATTCATGTAATCATTTCATTTACTAGAATAAGAATTTAGAGAAACATTAGTTAAAAGTTTGTAATGTTAGTAGTATTCTGTGGATACAATGTAATTAGGAGTAGTTTTTTTTTCTGTTGCTGTTTTTCTGTTTTTGAGACAGGGTCCCACTCTGTCACCCAAGCTGGGTACAGTGGCTCGATCATGGCTCACTGCGGCCTTGACCTCTTGGGTGCAAGCAATCCTCTCACCTCAGCCTCCTGAGTACCTGGGACCACTGGCTAATGTTTTTTGTAATTTTGTAGAGACAGCATCTGCCAATGTTGTCCAAGCTGGTCTCAAACTTCGGGGCTCACACAATCCTCTCGCCTTGGTCTCTCAAAGTGCTGGGATCATAGGTGTGAGCCACTGCACTTGGTCTAAAAATTATGTTTAAAAAAAATCAAATTAAAAGTGATCAGGCTGGGTGTGGTGGTTCACACTTTTAATTCCAGCACTTTGGGAAGCCAAGGTGGGAAGATCATTTGAGTCCAGGAGTTAAAAAGACCAGCCAGGGCAACATGGCAAAACATCACTACACACACACACACACACACACACACACACACACACACACACAAAAACAAACAAACAAACAAACAAATATTAGCTGGGTGTGGTGGTGCATGTCTTTGATCCCAGATACTTGGGAGGCTGAAGTGTGAGGACTGCCTGAGCCCAGGAGGCTGTGGCTGCAGTGAGCCATGATTGCACCATTGCACTCAGACTAGGTGACAGGGCAAGATAGTCTCAAAAAATAAAAATTAAAAAAGTGATCAAATACCGCAAAACCCAACTCCTTTCTTTAAAAGCTCAGTCATTTAGCCAGACGCAGGGGACATCAGCCTGGGCAACATGGTGAGGCTCTGACTCTACAAAAAATACAAAAATTAGCCAGGCATGGTGGTACATGGCTGTAGTCCCAGTTACTCAGGAGGCTGGAAGGTGGGAGGATCACTTGAGTCCAGGAGGTCAAGGCTATAGCGAGTTGTGATTGTGCCACAGCATTCCAGCTTGGGCAACATGGTGAGACTCAGTCTCAAAAGAAAAGGTGAGTCGGCCGGGCGCGGTGGCTCAAGCCTGTAATCACAGCACTTTGGGAGGCCGAGACGGGCGGATCATGAGGTCAGGAGATCGAGACAATCCTGGCTAACACGGTGAAACCCCGTCTCTACTAAAAAATACAAAAAACTAGCCAGGCGAGGTGGCGGGTATCTGTAGTCCCAGCTACTCCGGAGGCTGAGGCAGGAGAATGGCGTGAACCCAGGAGGCGGAGCTTGCAGTGAGCTGAGATCCGGCCACTGCA